CATGCGCCAATTCCAAGATTGTACAAACGTATAAATAGTGGCATGCTTGAATAAAAATTGTCCACGTATAAGTGGTACCCCATATGGAAAAAGGATGACACCAAGTCCCAAGCTATCTTGGCACTACTCCAAATGTAGTCTAGGCGTCCGGGGGGCTCCACGTGACTATCTTTTCCCTTGTAAATCCAAAACTTATATGTATAGCCTGTTGCCCTCTCACAGGTCTTATACATCTTGACCCCATTTCTGGCTCGCTTGCTGGGGAGAAATTGTTTGTATGCAAGGCGGCCAGAAAAAGTAATGAGGGACTCATCAATGCATATTTTTTTGCTGGGGAGTATAGACATCTGCAAATTTTTGGTTAAGGTGATTTACGAGAGGCAAAATTTTGTGGAACCGGTCAAATTTAGGGTCATCCTAAGGACAACAGTGCGTTGTCATTGAAATGCATAAAACACATTATACTCTCATATCTATGCCTGGCCATGGCAGCAGAGAACATGGGCATATGATGAAACAGGTCTGTGGACCAACTCAAACGCAATTCATTTTTTTTTAGTAATGCCCATGTTGAGGGTTAGGCACCCAAAAAAATTTAACTTCAGAAACCGTAATGGGTTTCCATGTGACTGGTCTGGCAAGGTTTGAATTTGGGTTGGCGGTGATAAATTGTTGTCCATATAAATTGCTTTGATCCACAATCAGTGCATACAGATCTTCCGTGAAAAACAGCTCCAAAAAATAAAGGGGAGTAGTTAAATTTGCTGTTTCCACCTCAATTCCAGGTTGGACAGTGAATGGGGGAAGTACAGGTGCTGCAGACAAATTTGTGGGCTGCCATTCAGGATTTGCCAATCGGGATTTGCACATCCTGAAGGATACTAGGGGCTCTACTTACCTGTGTGTGAATTCTTTATGGCTGCGGGACAATACTTGTTCTCGCCACCGCACCAGCTTGTACTGCACTTATGGGACTCGCCACGTCACCAAGTGATACTGCAGTGCTGGTATGGGAAAGACCAGAATGTACTAGGCCGCTGGTGCTCGCCAGTTCACCAAAACGTAAAGTGCCACTAGTACTGGTACTCTGCTGCATATGAGAATCATCAAAATTTACTGGCAACTGCTAACAGAGATCAGGCCTGATTCTGCAAACACTGTGGTTTTGTGTGCAATGTATCAAGTGACAGTAACCTACTGACCCTACACTTGCTGGGGGAGAAGGGGGGGTAAGCGTAGGGGCTAAATGCAGGTGCTGGCAGGTGCTGGGGCTGATCCCGCTAACGCCGTGTTTTTTTGGACACTATACTAATGTGAACGCTGGTATAGTGCTGATCTGATCAAAGATATTGATCCGTTCAGACACTATACTAGCAATGGAGGTTTATTGTGTATGAGTGTGTTCCTGGCAATCAAGGGGTAAATGTGATTACTGGTGTACTGATGGGCAATCTTACACTATCTACGTGAATCACGTACATATACGTGATATTGTGCACCTGTTCCACCCTGTAGCAGTATTTCTGCTATACTGCGGTCTGGAAGCTGTTAAGAAGTGGTTTGTGTTACTTTAACTGAAAATTGTTACGTTCATGCAGCGCTGCACCCAAATTAAATTTACGTCCTTTTTTCCCACTAATTGAGCTTTCTTTCGGTGATATTTGATCATCTGTGTTTTTTTTATTTTTTGTGCTATGAAAAAAAGACCGACAATTTTGAGAAAAAAAACCTATATTTTGGACTTTTTGCTATTAAACATGTCCAGTAAAAAAATGTAAAAAACAAATTTCATCATAAATTTAGGCCAAAATTATACTAATAAAGGCGGCGATCAGCGACTTATGGCGGTGATCAGTGACTTATGAAGGCAATCAGCGACTTATAGCAAGAATGACACTGGGGGGAACTGACTTGGTGTCACTCCCCAGTGACACCAATACAGTGATCAGTGCTAAAAAAAAGCACTGACACTGTACTAATGGCACTGGGCAGGAATAGGTTAACATGAGGGGCAATCAAAGGGTTAACTGTGTGATGGAAGTGTTTTAATAGGGGCAGGGGGTGTGTTCTTCACTGTAAAGCACACTGATCGGGATGGCTGTGCTCAGCCATCCCTAGCAGTGTGCCCAAACTGACAGGGAGGAGGGCTGTTTGTAAACAATGCAGCCCTCCTCCCTGTCGGTGATCATGGATAATCACAGGGCGCCGGTGACAAATCACCTGCCAGGACCCGACGATTGACACCCGGGGCCACGATCGGTGGTGTGGGTAGAGCAGTCACGCGCCTCGTGTCCGCTCCCTACCCGGAAATGCAGAATCACATATATATATATATATATATACGTGATTTTGAGCACAGGGCCCACCCTGCAGCAGTAAATGTACTGTGGGTGGGCCATAAGCGGTTAAAGTAAAAAACAACAACAAATAGGCAAAAAGGAACCACAAATCCTGGGTGTTAGGACATATTAAAATTCAGTGTACTGTATATAAGTCCACATAGCACTAGGACAAGCTCTTGAAGGTGTAGCAGGCTCTGAGTAACAACAAGATAAGAAAAAAGCACCTCTAAGTGCAGTAGTAATGGACATTTATTAACATACAGATAAAAAAGCCACTCATATAGTGAACATGGTAAAAAGGGCTTGTCTGGTGCACAATGTCTCAGGAATGGTGTCTGTGTTCCCGCTAGGAAGGCCGAGATGGGTGCTGGAGGAGACTGAGAATGGTGAAGTCGGCCAGCATGTGTGTCTCCATATAGAAGACGTAGACTTGACCAGCATGCAGTGCGATGCGTTTCATAGCATGTGCAAAGCCACTAGAAGAAGACAAGCGTGCTCCCTCTCAAGCACAATACAACACAATGATTGGGACAATATATATATATGGACTAATAACCAATGGCAAAAATGGAAGTTAGGGTTTAAAAGGCTACCAAAATACTACAGTTAGATACTGATAAATATGATAATACACATGTATACACAATGAAAACAAAAATAAATAAAAAATTATAAGTATATATATATATCTATCTGTCCACACATACCCAATGTACACATAGTGACAGGGAACTAAAAAGAGGTAGAACAGACTGAAATATTTTAGGAGGTAGAACAGACTAAATGTTTAAAAGATTTTTTCAAAAGCATATAATAATAATGATAAATTATAAAAAATATAATTAAGAATTTTTATATATATATATATATATATATATATATATATATATATATATATAAAGACAATTTTTCTAAGTATGATGATGATTGATATATATAATGGGATCACCTCATGTGTGAGCTCCACCTTTCTTCCAGCCAGAGACACACATTCTCTATAGCTGAGTGATTTTTGTTGTTCAATATCCAAGTTTATTTTGAAAGTCCATTTAAAACTATTGATCAGTGAAGTCCATGACTTAGAAATTGTAATTTTGTCCACAAGAAGGGTATAAAAGATCAATTTTCCAGAATGCCAAGGAATGTTAGGAATAGAAACAAGGAGAACTACAGAAGACATTCAGACAAAGAAATGTTTAAAAAGGGAATATATGAGAACTTTGGCCAACAACCATGTTGCAGGATAATTGCATTCTCTAAAATATAAAGGGGTGCATTTAGAACATATTTAGTTAGTAAAATTAGTAGGATGTACTGTCTGAGAAATAACATTGCATATGTTCTGCTTGTCAATGTATGCCGGTCATTATGATGTATTGTTTCTTCTTCCCTGCACATCTGGTGGAATTGTCCAGTATTCACTCCATTCTGGTCCACTTTTACTAAGTTTCTTTCTTCTATTATATCAGTCCCTTTTTCCCTTTCACCACAAATGGTTCTATTGGGTTTGGATATAGATACCTGGCCCAGCTCTCCCACACCGTCATTTTTCATGAATTCATAACCATATGCCTGGCTATTGCCCATGTAATTGGAAAGTTGCTTACCCTCCCTCCATTTTGGAAGTGATCTCTATTTTAAATAACCATTGTTTTATAGAATATATGTATGCTAGAGCACACCTCCAAATCCCAAAATAAAAAAAAAATGGCTCAAACATCCTAAATACCTGAACCTTCCATGACTCACTAACCTTTCTGATGTTTCTATGCTTTATCCACACCCAATGTGAACACCCCCTTGTGTAATGCCTTTACAGTATACCAGTGCTAGCTCTTAAAAACTCCCCTCCCTTTTACATTTAGCAACTCCATAATTACTCATTCAGCAGTGTTCTATCAATTTGTGGTTCAACACTTTCAAATGTCTTAATTTCACAAACCAAGTTTATTTCTAGTGTATTGTACTTCAACGACATATGTACTTCTTGTATTTCTATGTTGTACATATGGAATGTATTCACGACAAGCCACTGTACTGCTTTCCATTTTGTATTATGGAAAATGTGAAATGAACTCTAAGTTAAAAAAAAGATTTATTGTTTCTCCAAGGTAAAATTCCCAATTAACCATAAAAAGTAGTTTGTTGTTAGAAGAAGACAGGAACTAATAAAGAGAAGAAATACTGTGGGGTTTTTTTTACTAAAACTGGAGATCACAAAACCTGGTGCAGCTCTGCAAAGAAACCATTCGACTTCCAGGTTTTACTGCCAAAGCTTAACTAAGTAAGCTGAAGTTAGAAGTGCACAGTTGCACCAGATTCTGAGTGCTCTAGTTTTAGTAAATTTGCCCCTGTATGTCTAGATTGTTTATCAAGATGCCTACATCTCCAAAGAGAGATATTTTTGTCTCCATTATCACAAGACAGAGGTGTATTCATGAAATTAACGAAATACATTTTTAATTTGTGAACAACTATGGTTTCCTCCTAGAAGTTTATAGCATCTATTGATAAATTACCGTACTTTAAGAAGTCTGAGATGCTTAGTGGATTTTTATTTGTCTACTATTTAAATTCTTTGGGATACAGGGAGACCTGTAGTAATGTTAGGATTTTGAAAAATAGGAGCAAATAGAAAACGAAAGCGATGAAGATGGTAATTTGAATTTTAATTGGTCATATAATGTGAGTGAACAGTGAAATTTCAAATGAATCTGATAGTAATGTCTACTGAAACAAGAGAGAAGCCTTAGAGCAGAAGTAAATGGAACAATTTCAGCTTGGTGGCATTGTGCAGTCCAGGGGCGGACTGACCATTTGGAAACTCGGACACTGCGCAAGGGCCCGGGGTCAGTAGGGGGCCCCATGAGATGCCCCTGGTACCTTTTTCATAGGCTTTTTTGAGTTTGGGCAAGGACACAGGGGCCCCATGATCCCCTATTGCCGGGGGCCCCATGAGTTGTCAGTCCGCCCCTGGTGCAGTCTCTTTGTATATTTTACTGACAGCTCTTCAGTCAATGCCATTTTTAGGCACTGGAGGTGGTTCAGGCAGTACTAATATTCAAGCACCATTCAGACTGCTTAGATGCAAAGGCCGCAGTAAGAAATAAGTAGAGGCTCTTAAATTGTAGTCCTACTCTTCGGTTTAAAATAACATTGTACAAGGGAGATGCTAGAAGAACCAAGGACTGGCTACAAGAGTAGACACACCATTGTAGCTGACTGTACTTTATATACCTTAAGGGGTCATTTAAACAATATGAGGGTGACATAGTTGATGAGACCCCCCCCCTCTGCTGTCATGTAGACCTGGATACCGCTTATTCACAGGACAAATTAGAACTAAGAGTAATTTTTTTCTGATGCTGTTACAATCCTTTTGGCTTATAGCAGCACAGTGGCTAAATGGTTAGAACTTCTGCCTGGCAGTTCTAGTGCTGTTGGTTCGAATCCCCGTCAAGTCACCACCTGTGTGGGTTTCCTCCAGGAACTCCGGTTTCTTCCACACTCCACAGATATGCTGGTAGGTTAATTGGTTCTTGTCTAAATTGGGCTTAGTATGTGTATATATGAATGTGAGTTAGGGACCTTAGATTGTACACTCCTTGAGGGTTAGGGACTGATGTGAATGTACAAGTTATATATGGTGATGGGTAGGAAGCATGATTTTCACTCCTTGTTTGACCAGTGCAGAAACAAACAAAATGTTTTCCTATATCCTCTTGGCATTGCTTGGACTGGAAAGAAAGGGAGCGTTCCCTATCTGAACCTATCTGCATATTATGGACCCTGAAAGGGTTCAGAGTGTTACAAAATTGTACTCTTTACTTGCCTGTGTCTAACTTTCTAACTGTATGTAAAACAGGTTTGTACATAGAAAACAGAAAGTTGAATAGGGAGAAGGGGGACATTGTTCTTAAATAGGGATTGGTGATTATTTCTGCCACTGACTAGTTAGATAGAAAAATTAAAAACCGAAAAAATATTTTGCAAGTAGGGTGTGGCCATTATAACTGATTTCTTTTTTGATTAGTTTTCCTTTTTAAGTTATTGATGTTTGAAACATATATTGAAAAATTATTAAAAAAACTAAGACAGCCTAAGTGAAGTCTGTAAATACCTGCTCAAAAGAATTGTTTTTCTGTTCCATTTGAGCATTTTACATCAGCTGCTATATCATTCACTGCAGGTTACATGGTGTTCTTCTTGACATTTGTTATAGAAGTATAGAAAATATTAACAATGAACTGTTGCTGGAAACTAAAGAACAAACACTGATGCACAATGTAACCTTCTAATAAACGTTTGCTTAAAATTCATTTTCTTGGTATTCACCCAGTCTCTAGGCTTGATTTATTTTGCCCTATAAGAACTTTGTCACTCTAACCTTTTTTGGCTGATTTTATAGAGGTGAATTGGTGAAGAGAATCTTTTGAAAACTCAATGCATTTTATTGACTAATTGGTGTAAACATGAAACATAGATGCAGAATTATGTCTACAAAAAGCTGGAGAGTACAAATAGTGGATTGGATGCTATCATCTATAATAGGGTATCAGGAGAGGAAAATGGTCTGTCCTTTCCCCTTTTATCAACATACTGACTAAATTGAAAAAAGAAAAAAAACTTTCTGTTTTCACTCAGATGTCTTCTGCAAGGTTCTAGAGACATATTTTGCTTTCTGATGACTGGCTGACTGCATCTGAGAGGTGAGTACGCAGCAGACTTCTGGCTAATGATGCTCCAGCTGGAAGGCAGAAGGAGACAAAAGTAATTGTTTAAATGTGTCAGGTAGTACAGTGAATTGTGTACATAGAAGATATTACCTTTCCTCCTTTGACAAGACCTATCCCCAGCAGCATGTAGATCTGGAAAGAAGCCAAGAAATGGTACCTAGTGCAAACATTTGCACAGGGAAATATTAATTTGAGAATTTTCTCGGAGTATAGTCATTGGAGGTGAAGTTGTACCATCCAAATACAGATGTTGGAATATCCAGAGATTGGGAATCCTGGAAAAGAAGCAAGGAGAAAATGCCATATAACCTGATAGAATATGCCATTTTTAAAGACATTCATATCCTACTGAATTCAGGATGTGCCCACAAAAAGCCTCAACTTCCTTGGCCTTTTTTATACTGGGGGGAACATTAAAAAAAGTGGTTTGGATTTAAAACAGGCACAATCCGGATGCAAGAGATTCACTTAGGATCCCCACAACATAAATCAAAACTAGGCCCTGTGTCAAAGGGTCTAGTGAAAAGTAAAGTTTGTTTTAAATATCAATTTGAGATGCTTTTTAGATCATTTGAAGTTACTTTAGGGGTGTATTTGACTTGAAATTTCCCCCCATTTAATCTGAATTTGACCCAATCCAATCTGCTTTTGCATTTTTATAGACCTATAATGGGACAGAAGCAGTTCTGATGCAAACAAAAGTCCATCAAAGAAAAGGCCAAAAACATGTCAACCCACTGGAACAATTTGCTGCCAAGAGGCTCTCACTGTGAATAACAATTCCCCAGCAGCCAGTTTAATGTAAACAAAGGGATGCTGGCTGATGTCCATGACCAGGTTTGGTCACAGTGAACTGGCAATTTAGTTTGCCCATTTGATGAACTGCAAATATGTAAAGTTCAGGTTGAATTTTACATGGCCATGAACTCAAATCTCAACTTTGTACACAAGATGAAGACATCAATGGCTAATGCTGTTTATTTAGTGGATCATTCAAGGGCAGATGATAAATAGCAGGGTAAGATAGAGACACTCAATGATTGCAAAGCCAGTTTAATTGCAAAATGTTCTTGTCTCATTTTTTTGTTCTGTATCATAAACCTTGTACCCTTAGTTACAGTAGGGATATTTCTATCAGTATGGCAGAGTTGGTTATCCTGTTGTATATCTTCTTACTGTATAGGTTTTTCTTTGTCACTGAAAATATTTTTTGTACTCTTTATCGAGTCAGAAAATATCATAACTTTATAGCACACAGCTGTAATTCATCACAATATTGAGTTCTATTGAAAATATTTTATGCATTTGTATAATTTCTACTACTTGACCTTGTTTGTATCACTTTTATTGTACAGTGCTGTATAAAATATTAATACCTTAAAGTAATGCCTTGCTAAATACATACTTAACCCATTGACTGTGCTTCGTACATACAGTAGCCTTGGCCTCATGTTTTCACACTTGTGAAAACAATTTATCGCTAAAAAGAGACACCATTGGTTACATACTATTTCTCAGATATACTAGGAATGTAAACAACTAAAGAAAAAAGTTCTTATTATCTTACTGTTTATAAACAAAATTATGTTGGCTGCCATTGCTGTCTACTCTTTTTGAAAATACTCATTGCTTGGCTGTGATGCTGATCCAATTACATCAATATTTCACTGATCTGAACCAAACTAATCAGGAGCTCATTCTGGCTTTACTTACTGCATGTTTAGTAACTCAGAATGTGTTATAGCCAGACACAGGTACTTATCTAGCATCTTTTAAATAGTGGTCAGTTATATCATTCTCCATCCTTCATCTAACTGTAAAAGAGCCACAGCAGAAGTGAAACTTAAGTACCCTCCTAGCAGGTGTGGCCAGGTGGAGCTGAGTGCTGGAACCTGCTGACTGCTGGGAGACACCTGCTGGTGGACACTAAAACTGCAGCTTTTCGCCCAGGGAAGCACAGTGCCACCAGATGTGAACCAGGTCCTAACATTCCCTTTTCCATATAAAATATTGATACCTGGAATTCATCTTTAACTTTCATTTGAGATCAGTTTCAGATGCTTTAGAGTTACTTCACAATTGCTCCTGACCTCCTTGTGGCCTGGTTTAAAGCTGCATCAAGGTGCTTCAAGCTGCCATTTTGCATACCAAATCACTTATATGATGGGAAAAGCTATTTTGATACAAACAAATGCTTACATTCTGTACACAGAGTCTTCAAATGCTACCTCCCAATGGAAATGCCTAATGCCTCGGAGATAAGCTGTGCCCAAGGGCGGACTGACCATTCAAGAACTCGGGAACTGCCCGAGGGCCTGGGGTCAGTATGGGGCCCCATGAAATGCCCCTGGTACCTTTTATAGGCTTTATTTGAGTGTGGGCAAGGACACAGGGGCTCCGTGATCTCCTATTGCCTGGGGGCCCCATGAGTTGTCAGTCCGCCCCTGGCTGTGCCCTTCTACAGTGATTGCTGGTTTTCATTGTGAAAAGGCACTGAATAAAGGGTAGAGTACTTGTAGAAAGAGGCAGCTCAAGACTACAAGACAAGGCAAGGCCTCAATGTCACATTTCTCCACACATTTTCTGATTGGTTAATATAGCAGTTCTCATTTTGCAGTACTTGCCTTAAATTAGGAACAACCTTGCAGCTTAAATACTCTTATCTCGAAAGAGCAGGGCCCTCGAATTTCTTGTGTATTATTTTGTTACTGTATTGTCTCCTGTACTGTCCCCCATTGTAATGTACAGCGCTGAGCAAACCTTTTGCCGCTATATAAATACTGTATAATAATAATCTAATTCCTGATTGATTCAAACAAGAAATAACCACACTGCCTTTCTTTCTATCGTTTGTCTTAGAAACGGAAGTGTGATTGTGGTTTTCAATGCGCTCTTCACTCAGATTTTACCTAATGAAAAGATTCAGACGGAACTGAGAACCGGAATTGAGAATAATTATTCTAATCTTACAAAGTGGTTTGAAATAGATGTCCAAAGTGTCATCATTACAGGTAAGCACAATATGTTTGAGTTGGGGGGGGGGTCCTATTTTATTTTTGCTTGCAGGTTATCACTGATTGAGGGTTGCTTCACACTTGTGCATATATACTCATTAGGTGAGTCATGTTGCATTAGGGCAGACCCAATCATTTAGAATGGGCTAGTAGTGCACCTCAATGCACAAAAACTGCACCTGCAGCATCTTTTGCAAAGCAGCATACCACAGTACAGTGAGTGAAGCTTATCAAAACTGGAGGAGCCAGAATGGGGAGCATCCATGCATGGCAACCAATCAACTTATATCTTCCATTTTCAAAGTCTAACTGAGCAAGCTGAAGCTAGAAGCTAAATTGTTGTCATGTACATCCACTCCAGATGCTGGATGCTCCAGTTTTGATAAATATATTTTTAACTATATTTGTAAATGCATTCCAAAAATGTAGATTTGTTTTTTTAAAGACATACAGTATATTTGAAATGTATTTTTTAAAATATTTTTCATATATTTTGTAATAAAAAAGCATTCCAACTTGCAGTGTATATATATACAGTGGGGGCAAAAAAGTATTTAGTCAGCCACCAATTGTGCAAGTTCTCCCACTTAAAAAGATGAGAGAGGCCTGTAATTGGCATCATAGGTAGACCTCAACTATGAGAGACAAAATTAGAAAACAAATCCAGACAATCACATTGGCTGATTTGGAAAGAATTTATTTGCAAATTATGGTGGAAAATAAGTATTTGGTCAATATCAAAAGTTCATCTCAATACTTTGTTATATATCCTTTGTTGGCAATGACAGAGGTCAAAGGTTTCCTGTAAGTCTTCACAAGGTTGGCACACACTGTTGCTGGTATGTTGGCCCATTCCTCCATGCAGATCTCCTCTAGAGCAGTGATGTTTTGGGGCTGTCCCTGGGCAACACGGACTTTCAACTCCCTGCAAAGGTTTTCTATGGGGTTGAGATCTGGAGACTGGCTAGGCCACTCTAGGACCTTGAAATGCTTCTTACGAAGCCACTCCTTCATTGCCCGGGTGGTATGTTTGGGATCATTGTCATGTTGGAAGACCCAGCCACGTTTCATCTTCAATGTCCTTGCTGATGGAAGGAGGTTTGCACTCAAAATCTCACAATACATGGCCCCATTCATTCTGTCCTGTACATGGATCAGTCGTCCTGGTCCCTTTGTGGAGAAACATCCCCAAAGCATGTTGCCACCCCCATGCTTCACAGTAGGTATGGTGTTCTTTGGATGCAACTCAGCATTCTCTCTCTTCCAAACACGACGAGTTGTGTTTCTACCAAACAGTTCTATTTTGGTTTCATCTGACCATATGACATTCTCCCAATCCTCTTCTGGATCATCCAAATGCTCTCTAGCAAACTTCAGGCGGGCCCGGACATGTACTGGCTTAAGCAGGGGGGCACGTCTGGCACTGCAGGATCTGAGTCCCTGGCGGCGTAGTGTGTTACTGATGATAGCCTTTTTTACGTTGGTCCCAGCTCTCTGCAGGTCATTCACTAGGTCCCCCCGTGTGGTCCTGGGATTTTTGCTCACCGTTCTTGTGATCATTTTGACCCCACAGGGTGAGATCTTGCGTGGAGCCCCAGATCGAGGGAGATTATCAGTGGTCTTGTATGTCTTCCATTTTCTAATTATTGCTCCCACAGTTGATTTGTTCACACCAAGCTGCTTTCCTATTGCAGATTTAGTCTTCCTAGCCTGGTGCAGGTCTACAATTTTGTTTCTGGTGTCCTTCGACAGCTCTTTGGTCTTCACCATAGTGGAGTTTGGAGTGTGACTGTTTGAGGTTGTGGACAGGTGTCTTTTATACTGATAACAAGTTCAAACAGGTGCCATTGATACAGGTAATGTGTGCAGGACAGAGGAGCCTCTTAAAGAAGAAGGTACAGGTCTGCGAGAGCCAGAAATCTTGCTTGTTTGTAGGTGACCAAATACTTATTTTCCACCATAATTTGCAAATAAATTATTTCCAAATCAGCCAATGTGATTGTCTGGATTTTTTTTCTCATTTTGTCTCTCATAGTTGAGGTCTATGTATGATGCCAATTACAGGCCTCTCTCATCTTTTTAAGTGGGAGAACTTGCACAATTGGTGGCTGACTAAATACTTTTTTGCCCCACTGTATATATATATATATATATATATATATATATATATATATTGAAATATATTTTTAAATATCTTGAATATGGCCAAAATTGTAGCATTTCAAATATATTGCAATATATTTGGGAAGAATATTTTAAAAATATATTTTTCTTCCATATGGATAGTGCTACCATTATACATGTGCATGCCAGAATTATTTAGTTTCTGATGCATTTGTTCATTAAAGAATTTTGTTTTGAAACCAATTCATTTTTTAAATTCATTTCATATCTTTGGAAAACATTTCATATATTCGTTGATCTGGTAAATTGGGAAAAAATTTTGCAGGTTTCTAGGAAGATTGCTGGATATTAGTTTTCTGTTTCAATATTTGGATAGATTCGCTATCCATATATGTAAACTATTTGATATGTTCAGACACAACAAAATAAATATAATGCAAAATTTGGCAGCCCTAAATTTTTCAAACATAAGAATTGCATTAGAGTTTAGACTGTGAAACAGAACTGATTGTGACAATTACAAATTCAAAAAATCACATATATACTCAAATCTGATTTTTTAAACAAATTAGACAACTTTATTAATTTCCCTATGGGTCTGAACTACTATTGTATCATGTGATGTCATCCAAATGAAATAAAAAAATAAAACAAATATATCTGGTAACTTTTGTAACAATGTGCCCATTGTAGGTTCTTTGGCTGTGGACACAGGTCAGTATGGACACTCTGACCGCTCTGCTGCTATACAACCCCATACACAACAAACTGTAATGCCTGTTTTTTTTCTGCTTTCAACATTTCATCTTCAGGGACAACATGTTTGCTTGCTGCCTAATATAGATGCTATTGTAGCAATAGAATTAATGGTATTCACTTAAACTGTCAGTGGCCATAAAGTTAAGGCTGATTGGTGTATGTTATAATAATAATGTAGCTTCACTACTCAGAAATACAAGTAATATATTACAAAAGGAATAGGTCAGTAACAGCAATAAAAGACTGTGATGCTGTACATATAGATTAAGTAGCCTTTCATCACAAAACAGTTCAACTCAGAAAATTATTCCTACCACCCATGATGCTGATTGTCAAATTAAAAAAATTATCTGAATGATTTTATTGTCAGGACAAAAAAAAAAGAATAAAAATGTATGCAGTACATCTCTTCGGTACATGTTTATCCCTCTAAATATCCTCTAAATGCAGGAAAAAGACCTGTTGATCTAAGAGAAATTCACTCTGCTCTTACCCTAGGTTCACACTTATGTGGATATCAGTGCATTTTACAGTTTGCAGAAACACACTACAGTCCATTTAACATAATTTCCTAGGATCTAGGTCACATCTGTGCATTTTGAGCAGTTGCATTTTTTTGGAAAGAGCCAGTGACTTTTTTTCCCCAGTAGATTGCATTTTGTGTGTAATAGACTTTAATGGACCCTCATTAAAAACACAAGTGTTGCGTTTTTTTGATGCATTTTGCGTTTATGTGACCAAAGTCACATGTTAGGGTTAGGGGCTAAGGTTAGGGATAGATGTTAGGGTTAGGTTTAAGACTTAGGTTTATGGTTAAGGGTTAGGGTTAAGAGCCAAGATTAGGGTTAAGGACTAGGGTTAGGGTTAAGGGTTAGGGTTGGGGTAATGTTAGAGTTAGAATTAAGGGCTAGGGTTAAATGTTAGGGTTAGGGCTTTAAGGGTTAAGGGCTAGGGTTGGGGTAAATGTTAGGGTTAGGGTTAAATGTTAGGGTTAGGGTTAAGGGCTAGGGTTAGGGCTAAATGTTAGGTGGAGGGTTAAATGTTAGGGTTAGGATTAAGGGCTAGGGTTGGGGTAAATGTTAGGGTAAGGATAAAGGGCTAAGGTTAGGGTTAAATGTTAGGGGGAGGGTTTAAGGGCTAGGGTTAGGGTAAGGGCTAGGGTTGGGGTTAAATGTTAGGGTTAGGATTAAGGGCTAGGGTTGGGGTAAATGTTAGGGTTAGGATTAAGGGCTAGGGTTGGGGTAAATGTTAGAGCTAGGGATAGAGTCAGGGTTAGGGTCAGAGACAGAGCTAGGGTTAGGGACAAATATTTTCATTATTCTGAGATTCAGATGTATCAGAATTCCGAATTACAAAAATAATGAATTTAAACGAATCCGAAATAACGCAAACGAAATTCGGCCCAAAATTAATTTAGAAAACACGTTTGAATTCTAAAACAAATTTGAATTTGAAAACAAAACCGAAAGCAAATTCAAAAACAAAATCAAACAAACATTTGAAAACAAATTTAAAGCGGAGCTCCACCCAAAAGGGGAAGTATCGCTTTAAGGACTGGGACCTTTAAGTATCGCTTTAAGGACTGGGAGCGTGGGGTGAAGGGAGTGAGTACCCAAAATTGAGAGGTACCCGCTCCCACTTCTGCTCCAATTGCCTAGGTGATCGGAAGCAGAAGTTGTCCTCCCCTCTCCTTCTC